AGTAAAGTTTTACTAAAGGTAATACAGAAAAAACTGCAAGCATACATTGACAGAGAACTTCCATAGGTTCAAGTCAGATTCAGAATAGGCAGTAGAACACGGGATATCATTGCTGATGTCCGATGGATCTTGGCTGAAAGCAGAAAATATCAGAAAGATGTTTACCTGTGCTTTATTGACTATGTAAAGGCTTTCGATTTTGTGGATCATGACAAGCTATAGATAACATCGCGAAGTATGAATATTCCAGAACACTTAATTGTGCTCATGAGGAATCTGTACCTGGACCAAGAGGCAGTTGTTCAAACACAACATGGGAACACTGATTGGTTTAAAATTAAGAAAGGTGTGTACAGTGTTATATTCTTTCATCATACTTATTCAACCTATGTGCTGAGCAAATCATCCGAGAAGCTGGATTCTATGAAGAAAAACGTGGCATCAGGATTGGAGGAAGACTCATTAACAGCCTGTGATATGCAGATGATACAGCCTTGCTTGTTGAAAGTGAAGAGGACATAAAATATTTACTGATGAAGATCAAAGAGCACAGCTTTTAGTATGTATTACATCTCAATGTAAAGAAAACAAAAATCCTCACTATTGGACCAATAAACAATGCTCTTAACAACAGAGAAAAGATTGAAGTTATCAAGGACTTCATTCTTCTTGGGTCAACTATCAACTCTCACAGAAGCAGCAGTCAAGAAATCAAACGATGTATTGCATTAGGCAAATCTGCTGCACAAGACCTTTTTAAAGTGTTGAAGAGCAAACATGTCAGCTTGAGGACTAAGGTGCGCCTGACCAAAGCCATGGTATTTTCAATAACCTCAAATGCATGTGAAATGCATGTGAAAGCTGGACAGTGAATAAGGAAGATTGGAGAAGAATTGATGCTTTTGAGTTATGGTGTTGAAGGAGAATACTGAAAGTGCGATGGGCTGCCCATAGAACCAACAGATCCATGTTGGAAGAAGTGCAGCCAGAGTGCTCCTTGGAGACCAGGATACCCAAACTTCGTCTCTCATACTTCTTACATATTGTCAGGAGAGACCAGTCGTTGGAGAAGGATATCATGTTTAGTAAGGTGGAGGGTCAGAGAAAAAGAGGAAGACCCCCAGTGAGATGGATTGGTAAAGTGGCAGCATCAATGGACTCAAGCGTGGCAACAATTGTGAGGTTGGCCCAGGATCAGGCAGTGTTTCGTTCTGTCGTGCACAGCGTCGCTGAGTCGGTACCAACTCGATTGCACCTAACAAGAAGGAGACATGACAACTAAATGAAATGTGGGATCCTGATCGGAATCTTTGGACAGAAAAAGAGTATCAGGAAAGACTTTTAAAACACCAAATAAAGTATGGACTGCAGATGCCATGTGTCAATATTGGTTCATGAGTTGTAACAAATGTATCCTAGCAATGCGTAATAGGATCTTAATAACATGTCAAACTAGGCAAAGGATATGGGGAACTATGCTATTTTTTTTTATAATTGTTCTGTAAATCTAAAACTTCTATAGTTTAAACACACACACAAAAACCTTGATTATTTTTTTTTAACTCTGCTTGTAGAGTTTGAGCAGATCTTTCAAGACTGCTGCAATATTTACTCTCAGTTTTCCCCACCCTTTCTCTATAACCTTAGTATTTAAACTGTGGTCACCTGGAAATTTGTTAGCATTGCAGAATCTCTCACTCATCCCAGGCAGGCTCATTGGAAATCTGCATTTTAACAAGCTCTAGCAAATGATTATGTGCATATTCATGTTTGAACAGCTTTGACTAGTGGAAGGTTGAATTACATTCTCAGACAGTTTAAAATCCGAATGGCAATTTCATTAAAGGAGCCCTGGTGGTGCAATGGTTAAGGATCTGGGATGATAACAGAAAAGTTGATGGGTTTGAACCCACCCTTTCATGGAAGAAAGCTGTGGCGGTCAACTTTTCCTAAAGCTGTACAATCTTGGACACCCTATGAGACAGTTCTATTCTGCCCAAATAGAGTCACTATAAATCGTAATCAACTTGATGGCACTGGGTTTGATCTGCAAGGTCGGAGGTTCAAGCTCACCAGCCTCTCCTAGGAAACCCTACACAGGGCCACTGTGGATTGGAACCGACTTGACGGCAGTTAACAAGAACAATTGATCCATTGAGTTGAGAGATGCCTTCAGAAGTCTCCTCTCTCCTGTTGGGGAAAGGACCTCTTGTCCATTCCATGAGGACCTGACAGAACCCTTTACCAGGTTTGCTGAATTATGCTGGTTCCTGAATCGTCCCCATCTATATCAACCTCTGCCCTGGTGTGGCACTGTGGGCTAATGCATCAGACTGCAAAGTCAGTTTGAACCGCAGTGTCGGTGGTTCAAGCTCACCGGCTGCTCCTCGGAAATTCTATACAAGGTCGTTATGGGTTGGAACCAACTCCATGGCACTTAACAACAACAACAACAAATGACAAGCTATGGACTGCAATTTGGAGCTCAGCAGGCATTTTGCGGGAAAAAGATGAAGCTTTCTGCTCCTGCAAAGATGGTTGTTGTTAGGTGTCATCGAGTCAGTACTGACTCATAACAACGTTATGCACCGCAGAACAAAACATTGCCCGATCCTGGGCCAACCTCACTACCGCTGCCACGCTTGAGTCCATCGATGCTGACACCTCGCCAATCCATCTGGCTGATATTCTCTGCTTTCAGTCAAGATCCATCAGACATCAGCAATGATATCCCTCGTTCCACGTCCTCTTCTGAATCCGGCTTGAACCTCTGGAAGTTCTCTGTCAATGTATGCCTGTAGCCATTACTGTATTACTTTTAGTAAAACTTTACTTGTGTGGGATATCAAAGATATTGTCCGATGATTTCCGCATTCCGTTGGGTCACCTCTCTTTGGAATGGGCACAAATATGGATCTCTTCCTATAAGTTGGCCAGATAGTTGTCTTCCAAATGTCTTGGCATAGGTGAGTGCCTCCTGTGCCGCCTCACTTTCTTGAAATATTTCTATTTGTATTCCATCAGTTCCTGGTGCCTTGTTCTTTGCCAATTCCTTCAATGCACCTTGGACTTCCTCCTTCAGTATCATTGGCTCTTGATCATATCCTATCTCTTGAAATAGTTGAACATCAACCATTTCCTTTTGGTACAGTGACTCTGTGTATTCCTTCTATCTTCCTTTGATGCTTTCTGCATCATTTCAATAATTTGCCCAGAGAATCCTTCAATAACGAAAGTCGAAACTAGATTTTTTTTCTTCAGTTCCCCCAGCTTGAGAAATGCTGAACATGTTCTTCCTTTTTGGTTTTCTGATTCCAGATATTTATACATTTTGTTATAATATTTGGCTTTATCTTCTAAAGCTGATCTTTGAAGTTTTCTGTTCAGCTCTTGGACCTCCTCATTTCTGCCATTTGCTTTAGCATCTCTACGCTGGAGAGCAAGTTTCAGTGTCTCTTCTGACATCCATTTTGACCTTTTCCTTCTTTCTTGTCTTCTCAACGACTTTTTGCTTTCTTCATGTACGATGTTCTTGATGTCATCCCACAACTCTTCTGGTCTTGGCTCTTTAGTGTTTAATGTATCAAATCTGTTCTTCAGATGACCTCTAAATTCAGATGGGATATATTTAAGGTCATATTTTGGCTCTTGTGGACTTGTTTTCATTTTCTTCAACTTCAGTTTGAATTAGCTTATGAGCAATTGATGGTCTGTTCCACAATCTGCGTCTGGCCTTGTTTTGACTGAAGATATGGAGCTTTTCCATAATCTCTTTCCACAGATGCAGTCAATTTTATTTCTGTGTATTTCATCTGGCTAGGTCCATTTTGAATCTGACAACCTGCAAAGATTAGTCTTGGAAACCCAGTATGTGTTGCTATGAGTTGGAAACAATACTTAACAAGGGCATCTATGGCCTTATTTTTCTATCTCCAGGCCTATTGTGCCCCGGACTGGAAACCACAAGGTCCACTGTTGGAGCCCACCAGTCACTCAGGAGAGATGAGGCTTTCTACTCCCGCAAAAGATTTGAAGGCTCCGAAATCCTATACAGGTTCGCTATGAGTCAAAACCCCCATGGCATTTAACAACAAGCCTGTGACCCCCATAGCAACTTCAGATCTGCCCACCTAGGCCTGCAAGTTCTCTTTCTGACTCAGCAATACCAAGGGACTCTCTTATTAGATTTCTATAGGTTAAATGATATGGTATTGCCAACTTTGGATTGTTTTGACCTACAAAATCGTCAACTAATCATGACGCCAATTGTTTTCATGTATTGCTTAATCACCTCAAAAACTCTGGTAAGGACACTATGACAGTATGAAGTAGATAGCATCACGCCATCAATATTCATGGAAATTTAATAATGATAAGTGAACATCAAATATACACGATCTACTTCCCAAGTTCGACACAAACCCTTTCAGTTAAGTGCTACTCAGATTCCCGCTGCCTTCCTTTAGATCCCTCACTCTTCCTAGTTCTCAAAGGGGCCCTTGTTGTTTTTGTTAAGTGCCCTCGAGTTGATTCTGACCCATAGCGACCCTGTATAGGGTTTCCAAGGAGCAGCTTGTGAGCTTGAACAACCAATCTTGCAGTTCAAAAGACTTTGCAGTCTGACGCATTAGCCCACAGCACCACACCAGGACTCCTTTAAACTTTATTAAATGAAGGTTTCTAAGTGGAGGCATAAGATGGAGGCACCGCCTAGAACATCCAGCGACTCAGCAAACTTAGAACTCTCAAAAACCTGCCTTCCCCAAACAAAGCACATCAGCGTTGCCCGAACCTAAGATGGCGCTGGGGCGGAGTCTGCGGGCCTCCTCTAGGCGGGGCCGCGGTGACGCGACGAGGCCGAGGGGCGGTTCTAGCGCCGAAGGCGGTGCCGGAGCCTGCACTCACGCCCCGCCCTGCCAGCTTGGCCCTGGGGCTTCGGCTGTGGGGTCCGAGCTCTGCTTTCCGCCAGGAGACGCCAGCTCCAGCTCACCGGGGGCGTCATGAGGTCCCCGGTTCACAACCTGGTCCCACACGACGGCGATGAGGGCACGGACAGCACGCCCCTCTTGCAAGGCTCCCGGCAGGCCGAAGCTGGTGAGCGGCGGGCTCGTCGGGGGCTTTGGGTGGGCGACTGTCCAGGGTGGGTGTCCATGACCAGAGAGCCTGTGCCCTCTGCCGGCGGTGCGGGGACTGCTTTGTGTGAGGGCTCTAAAGACGAGGAATCCATTCAGGGTCCCCCTTCCCCAGGACACCCTCCCCCACTGCTGCCCTCGGGCCTTGGCAGGTGCAGTCCCGCGGGGCCGGCTTTGGGAGCAGCACGGCGCCGGCTAAGGCTCCTGGGAGTTCTCGGCAGTGCTGGGCTGGGACCCGCGGAGAGCAAACTGGGAAGGAAATCTGGAATCAATGGATGGGAGTGGGCCGGCCGGAGTCGGCCTCTTCTTCCTTGTCACAGTCAGGTTTCCGCAGCTGCAAATTGGTCGGCATGTGATCTAGTAGCTTCTTGGGAGGGGAGTCATAAAAATATGGAGTTAATATTTGTGAGTATGCGGTGGACAATATTTCATAACTCAGCGAGTATTTAGAAACTGTGAGGTGAGGCACTGAAAGTACTTCACACATGCCATTTTCCCTCTTTAGCTGTCTGTGCTTGAGTTGGGAAACAGTTCCTTTATCTTCAAGATAGGAGATCTGCAGAATGTTAATTTACCAAAGGTCTTGCAACACATAGAAAAGGTACTTAGCAAGCGATCGCCTCTGGATTTGGGGGAATAAAATAGTTTGCTGTTTGATACTTTTGTAAAGTTGTTTACTTAAAGGTAGTTACAACTAAAGAACAGATTTGCGTGTATTTGGTACTTTCAAATATGGGTACATGAGAAAAAGAGGTGAGTTTGGAAATTTTACTTTTTTTAACCAGAGGTTAATTCTGTGGCGCCTCTTTGTTTTTAACATTACCAGATGGTGGCAGTAGAGTTGGTAGCATTATAGCTGCATCGTGTAGCTAGGGGACTGTTTCTGTCAATGCTAACTGTAAATACTGTACTGTAGTGATGGTTACCTGGAAGTCAGATTTAATTTCATAAACTGAACTTTTTCTGTGGCTTACTTTGATAGAAATTTGTAACGTTCTGTAAAGTAATGCAGTGTGGAAATACAGAAGCAAATACCATAATAAAGATATTCCAATAGATTACTACATCCTGTGACAATTTGAAAATATGTGCTCACGAATAATCAAAATACAACTCAAATGTGAAACATCATTAACTGTTAAGGAAATGCAGATTAAAACCAAAAGGCGTTGCCATTACACACCCACTGTTGTTAAGTTCCAACCAGTGGATTCTAACTCATAGCACTTATGTATAACATTTCCAAGGAGCAGCTGGTAGTTTTGAATGACTAGTGCTTATCATACAGTACCACACCAGGGCTCATAGTGACCCTGTATAGGGTTTCCAAAGAGCATCTGGGGAGTTTCAACTGCTGACCTTGTGTTTTAAACCGACCTTGCCATCCATTGCTTTATCCCACAGTGCCACACTAGAGCTCATACACTAAAATGGCTTAAATTGAAAAGTTTAGGATACCAAATGTAGACAAGGAAATGAGTTACTGGAACTCTTAACACATTGCTGTTAAAAGAGTATAAAAACTCTGCAACTGCTTTAGAAAACTGTTTGGCACCTTAGTGTAAAGCTGAACATACATTACCATATAAGGACAATGTTTATAGACATTTTATTCATAATAGTAACAAACTAGAAACAACCTAATTGTCCATAAAGAGGATAAACAAACTAAGAGCTATGCATACAATGAAATATTACTCAGTAATAAAAGGGAACAAACTACTCATATGCACAAAATGTTGTTGTTGTTAAGTGCTGTGGAGTCAGTTCCAACTCATGGCGACCCTGTATAGGGTTTCTAAGGAGCAGCTGGTGAGTTTGAACTGCTGACCTTGTGGTTCGAAGTCCAGTGCAGATCCTACAGCACCACACCAGGAGTCCCATATACACAACAATGTTTATGAATTTCAAAACATACTGAGAAAAAATATATATAGCCACCATAATGTATATGACCATTAATATAAAGTTCTAGAACAAGCATAATTAATCTATAATAAAAAGTAGATTTATAGTTAGAAACTGTGGGCAGAAGGGAACAGACTATAGAGGGCCACTAGGAAACTTTTTGGGGTGATGGAAATGTTCTATCTCTTGATTGAGGTAGACAGTTGCATGCATTTGTCAGAATTCGTCAAACTTACACTTGAAATGGGTACATTTTCTTGTATGTAAATTATACCTCAATAAAGGTTGTGGGAAAAAATAGCTCATAACAGTCCTTTAAAAACAATCCATGCTTGATTCACAAGTAGAGTGTATTGAGCCTATGCTATCTGTATCTATTCATCTTGTTTTTTTAGTTTGAGGTAATTATCTGCATTATGGCCATTTTCCTTCTTATTTTTACGTACCTACTACAACAACAACAACAACCCAGTGGGAAGCAAGTGAGATAGAAATAGCAGCAGCACATTTTTTCTTCTATTCTATTTTAAAATATACTAAAGTTTTTATAGAAGTGAAACCTACAGTATATATGACATTGAATTAGTCGACAGTATTCTAAATTTAGGCCTGCTTAACCTGTGTGCTATAGGATTAACACTGGACTACGGAACCACAAGTTCAGCAGTTCAAGCCCACCAACTACTTCTCAGAAATCCTATAATACAGGATTGCTATGAGTTGGAACCGACTCAAACGCACTTAACAACAAGCTTAACAACAAGAAAAGAGCTCCTTAGAGACTACTACTTAGTGGAACTTCATTTTATACCCTGATAACTCAGAGCCAGGGAGGTTAAGTAATATGCAAAGATTGCACTAAGCGGTACCCTTATTAAAGACTGTTGTTGGTAGATTGTTAGGTGCCACTGAGTCATAGCAACCCTATGCACAACAGAACGGAAACACTTCCTGGTGCTGCATCATCCTCACAGCCCTTGTTAGGTTTCAGCCTTTTGTTACTGCCACTGTGTCAGTTCATCTCATTGGGGGTCGTCCCCTTTTTCATTCACCCTCTACTTGACCAAGCATGATGTCCTTTTGCAATGAATGGTCCCTCCCGACAACATGTCCAAAGTACTTGAGATGAAGTCTCACCATCCTTGCTTCTAGGGAACATTCTGGTTCCCTTCTTCCAAGACACATTTACTTGTTCTAACAGTCCATGGTACTTTCAATATTCTTCACCAGCACCATAATTCAAATGCATCAATTCTCCCATCTTCCTTACTCATTGTCCAACTTTCACATGTGTACAAGGCCATTGAAAATACCAGTCTTGAATTAGATGCCCTTTGGTACTCAAAGTGACATCTTTCCAGTTTAACACTTTAAAGAAGTCTTTTGCAGCAGATTTACCCGATGAAATACATTTGCTTTCGTAACTGCTGCTTCCATGAGCATTGATTGTGGACCCAAATAAAATGAAGTCTTTGACAACTTTAATCTTTTCTCCACTTACTATGATGTTTTTTTATTGCTTCAATGGTGAGGAATTTTTCTTTACATTATGTTGCAGCACGTACAGAAGACTGTGGTCTTTGATCTTCATCAGCAATTATTAAGCCCTCAATGCTTTAAACAAGCAAGATTGTGTCATCTGCATTATTGCAGGTTGTTAGTGAGTCTTCTTCCAATCCTGATGCCACATTCTTCTTCCTATAATTCAGCTTCTCAGATCATTTGCTTAGCATACAAATTAAGTATGGTGAAAGACTACAACCCTGGCGCATACCTTTCTTGATTTTAAACCACTCAGTGTCCTCTTGTTCTGTTCAAATGAGCCGCTTGGTCTATGTACAGGTTCCTCATGAGCACAGTTAAGTGTTCAGGGACATCCATTATTCACAGTGTTATTCATGGTTTGTTATAATCCACACAGTTGTATGCCTTTGCATAGTGAATAAAGCACAAGTAATCATCTTTTTAGGGAGTCCTGATGTGGTGCTATAGGATAAGCACTGGTTAGCTGTTCAAACCCCCAGCCACTTCTCAGAAATGATATACAGGGTCGCTCTGAGTCAGAACCAATTTGACAGCACCTCACAACAATAAATGTCTTTTTGTTATTCTCTGCTTTAAGCCAAGATCCCTCTGATGTCAGCAACGATATCCCTAGTTCCACATCTTCTTCTGAATCTGACTTGAATTTGTGGCAACTCACTGTCGATGTACTGCTGCAACCAATTTTTAGTTATCTTCAGCAACATTTTACTTTTGCATGAATGTAAGGCATGGCTTGGGTCCAGTGCACCTTAGTCCTCAATGTGACATCTTTACTTTTTGATACTTTAAAGTGGTCTTGTGTAGCAGATCTGCCCATGCATTATATATCATTTGATTTCTTGACCTCATGACTGCTGCTTCCTTGGGCATTGATTAACTAACATTCAGGAGAACTCCGTGGTCAGTTCTAATATACTGGCCTCAGAGTTCTCATGAATTGTATTCCCATCTTCCTACCTCAATGCAAAACTACCACCTTTGCATTATATTTCAGAATTTTCTATTTGCAAAATCTTTTATCAGTTTTAGTTATTCCCCAACCAATTTGAAAGTTACCCTTCCAACCTGCCATAAATATGGAGACATAGTTTTAAATTTTGCACAGTGTTTCTTTATTAAGATAGCTAAAATTAGGATGGAGAACAGAGGCTTCATATGATAAGCATTGGACTGCAAACCCCATGGTCCATGGTTCGAGCCTATCAACTGCTCCATGGGAGAAAGATGAGGCTTTCTACTCCAGAGAAGATTTAAAGCCTCAGACACCCTATCCAGGGTTGCTGTGAGTCGGAACCAACTCCACTTAACAACTACAAAAATTAGGATATGTTTCTTAAGTATCAGTAAGAATCAGTGCGTCTCAGATTGACATTGTAATTCAAACCTCTTAGTAACTATGGAATTCCTTGGTGGTGCATTTAAAGTTCTCTGCTACTGACTGAAGGGTCAGTGGTTCAAGTCTACCCAGAAGCACCTAAGAAGAAAGTCTTGGTGATCTACTTCCAAAAA